TCTCTCCTCCTCCTCAGACCACATGCGTCGGGGCGGCAGTGGGCTACCATCACGGCGAGTGGTGGCTGGCCTCCGCAGCTGGGTTGCCCTGGGGGGAAGAGATGGTGGAGGTGCTGGTGATGAGTGCAGCTGCTCTGAGGATAAGAGCGGGTCAACACTCTGCTGATGAGACGGCAAATCCAATGAATGTGAGGGTTCTGATGATGATGATGATGCTGACTGCATAGAGATATGGTGATCTTTATCCTTGAGGGGTAATGGCTGTTCTGGGGCGTGGTCATCTTCACTATAGAATGACTCGGAGTAGGGCTGGAATAATAATGAAGAAGAACCATCCTCATCATTTAAAGATCCAGTGGGATTGGAGAATGCCGTCTGCTGTCTATGGCCCTGCCTATGGCCCTGCCTATGGCCCTGCCTATGGCCCTGTCTAGTCCACTGGGGAGTATCCCTATTGACTCTGACTGACTCTGGAGGAGCCCGGCCATGATGCCTCCATGATCTTTTGATCTTTGAAGAGTCATCTTCAATCAAGGAGTTCAAGGGTCGCTCTCGCTTCCGTGATCCAGCATGGTGTTGCATTTCTACATGCTGGCTTTGACATTCAGATAGCCTCATCGATCCAGGGTGTTTATTTTGATAACTTAGAGCCATAGGTTGAGTCTGCCTGTGTGATGCTGTCTGTTCAGATGAATGCTCACTGTGTTCTACTTCTAGATACACTGGGCTTCTATCCCGACGCTTCCGACTGAGATGTTGACGCGAATGCTTCACCTGTCTCGATATAGGGATCCCGGTAGGTCTTGGCAGTTCATGACTGGAATCCGACCTCTCATCATCTCTTCCTCCACTGTGGAGCCTTCTTCCCACCGGCAACCGATGCAAACGACCCGGCCTTGTTGGTGATATAATACTTGATGGATGATTGGATCTTCTCAATGCTGTCCTCTGATCAGCAGAGTGGACAGTGGATGTGACCAAACCCTTTCCAATCTGATCTGTCTTCCATAACTGTCTTCGTGTATGGGAGGATTGTTTCTGAGGTGCTGGGACCGTGGCTCTCTCCCGATGGGGGTGGTTGGATCGTCTTGATCTTGGCTGAGAGTCTGGAATCTCCTCCACCCATTTATGGACATCTTCATGCCCACGAACCATGCTAAAATGTAATGAAGATGCTAATGAAGATGAGGTAGTCTTGTTCAGCTGATCTGATCAGTGTGGTATGGAAAGAATGATAAAAGCAAGCAGCTATCCCAGGTGAAAAGGCTTTTCCACCGGCCAGCGGTCACCAGACAGCCACTGGTCAATATCATGTTATTTCAATCTCAATCTTATTTATCCTTCATCACTTGAACCCCTGACGATCAACCCAATATAGGGTTGGAGTTGAAAGAAACTTCACTAACAGTCAACCTTGATGGCTTGGCAACAGCTATGATTTGCTCTCAAAGCAAAGACCAGACCGGCCTAATAGGATGATAGAGCCTCTGATTGGTTGAACCTCTCTTGATTCATAAAAAAAGAATGATATATCCAGCCACGGAGCACCTGCCGTTCGCCATTCAGCTTACCATTTTACAATAGACACAATAGAAATATATGAGGAACTGCCAGCATGCAACAATCTAAAATCCATCCACCATCTGCCTCTGTTAGTTCCAACGGAATTTCATCATGTCATTATGTCGTGGTCGTCCTCACATCTATGCCAACCAGGGGGCTCAGCAGGAGGCTCGACGTAAGCGCAGACGCACTCAGTATCAGCTCAAACGGGATCTCCAGGAAGGTCAGATCCTGCAGCGATATTATCATCAGTTCAGTAAGACTCTTCCCTGCCAGCACCAAACATGTGGAGAGCTGATCAAGCTACCATTCTATCCCAGTTGACCAGAATCCTTGGGAACAGCCTTTGGATGTGTCCCCACCATTGCTCCAGCAGAGGACCGATGTCTCTGTGGTTCAAAAGCAGGCTCTCCCCATGCAGAATGAACCTGGGAACAATGAACCTGGAAACTCTTCATCTTTCTCACCCTCATCACCTGGTGGCCTCCACCCGCCCCCTCAGTCTCCCACACCAGCATCCACGGTGAGCCATTACGCCCTTGCAGATGATAACAGGTGGTTCGATATGGATGGTCCATCTGCAGATGTGGATTCATTTGATGATGTGGAAGATAGAAGCCAATCCAGCTACAGGATGACCCCAGAGGCCATCCATCATGTAGAGCACAGGAGATCAAGCACAGCTCCTCTCTCACCAACTGCTGAGGCCTTATCACCCCTCTCATCACCACCCTCTGCGGCGGCACCACCACCCCAGGCTCCAGTGTCCATTCTTGCCCAAGGGCTTGCCGAGCAGCTGCAGCAGCACCATGGCTGTCTGGGGGACAGCCACTGGGAGTATCCCTTCGACATGCGGCCTGTTGACCATCCATCCCCGCCTGGGACCCCCTTCCCCTCCAAGGCGACACCATCCCGGCCCATCCACTCTGTGCGCCTGAGTGAGATCATCCAGTGGGCCTGCCCGGATATCCTGTCGCGGCCACAGATAGCTCAATTTGGGGAGCCCTGGGATGAACAGCTCCCCCCACTGCAGAGGCAGAAGATCTTCAGTGGGCTGGATGTCAGGGATGACTCCACCCCTCCAGAACCACCCACCGTGGACATCGCCTCGGAGGACGTCCCCGACGGGCCACTGATGCCATCCATGGATATCGACAGCGTGGGGGGGTTCGCCTCCAGCCTCGCTGTGGCCCGGGCGGGCATTCACTGGCTGGCAGCTAGGCCCCCTGTGTCCTCCCTCCCTGCAGGGCTGCATCTCTCCCCAATCCCCGTGACATGGGAGCCCTCGTCAGAGGCCTCATGCCCCCGGCGCAGCCAGAGACCGATCCACCAGATCCCACATCTTCCCCGGGGCCGGCTGGGTAGGGCCGGCTGGGTGGGTTCGAGGATCTAGAGCTCTACGCCCTGTTTCCCCAACTACATGACCCCGAGCGCCAGCACTTCATCATCCGCGAGGATGAGTACCGGCTGTGGACCGATCAGATTGTTCTTCCTGCCCTCCATGAGTGCTACTCTACCGCCCTGCTGGGCCACATCCCCTCCAGCACCGATCACATAAGGCTCAATGCCACCGCGCGATGGGTTGAGGGCCGTGTGAGTCACAGCAGCAGTGCACCTCGCGTCCAGCTTTTTCGGCACTTTCTCCCCCCAGAGGGTCTGGCCCCACTATGGCAGGCAGCATGTAGGCCGTAGTGGATATGAAATACAACATATCCAAATCAAAAGTGATAATTCCGCCGGGAAGGGGTTAAATTTTGGTGTCAAAGTCAATGAGTTGAGGTGCGATGTTTGATGGGGTAAGCCACCAACCCAACCAGACCCAACTAAATATATATATTTTCACCCAGGCAACGGAGCGGTGCAAAGCGGTGCAAGATCAACAAAGTAAATAAAAATAGCAAAACATATAAGAAAACTGAAAGGCTTCATTCTGGAGTGATTTTAAACACAGAAAAACAAACATTCACACCAGATCAGATCCTGTCAAGTTTCACACAAAGACACTGAATGAAGGAAATATATATATATTCAATGCACAAGACAGACCAAGCATCGACATGGAACATCAATTATTTATCCACTGTGAATCATACCTCATTATCATATGCCGCCGGTGCAAGCACGCTGTGTGGCCAACAGAGATTGAACGGCATCTGAAAGGCAAGGCCCATCAGCTAAAGCATGCGGTGGTTCAGCAGATAAAGGAGAATATAAACTGATGATCTGAGCCACAATGTAGATCTTGACACATTGTAGTGGAAGCAAAGATCACATTGAAGAAAGTGAGATCAATCATATGATCTGCTACATGAATTAAAACCTCTATCTTTCCCACAAAGTCCATCCCATGTTCACTGACTTGCCCATCAGCTAAAGCATGCGGTGGTTCAGCAGATAAAGGAGAACATTGAACAGTGGGACAATGTGGCTCGAGATACTACACAGTTAACACTGCCCACATACTACACAGTTAACACTGCCCACAATACTGAATGAACCAATCCCGGAACTACCCATTCAAGATGGCTACAGGTGCCAGCGGGATCCCCAGTGCCAGTATGTGGCAGGGAACATGAACACCATGCGCAAGCACTGGCAGAACAAGCACAGCTGGTCGCCATATCCCAGCCGTGGCCGTACAGCGCCACAAAAGCGTACGGCAGCACAGGATGAGGTGGACAGATCATGCCAGAAGGTGCAGTTCCAGCAGATATTTGCATCGCGCAAGGGCTCCCACTACATACAGATCCAGACTAAGGAGACTACTGAGCATACCGGCACGCAAGACCAGAACAGAGCCAGCCAGGCCATTGATGAGCTGGAGCGGTTTTACCAGGAACAGCAACGGCAGACCAGCAATGTCATCCAGGCCGGGGAGCACGATGAAGCCAACCCATGGCTGCGGCGGACCAGATGGCCGGTGTACTTGACCAACATCGCACCCAATGATCTGGTCAACTGCGTCCAGCGGCCCGAGGATGACACCACGTGCCCAGATGAACTGGCCGCGAGGGCCATCTGGGAGGCCATGGGTCAGGTTGCCCGTACCAGCCAGCGAGTCATCACACGGCTGGGCCACTTCGTCCGCATCGAGGCCATCCGCACAGAGCGACACCAGACCCGGCACACCCCGTTGCAGGCGTACATGGACGAGGAGAGCATCGCCGAGCACGTGAGGCCATGGCAGCAGATGTTGATGTTTTTCGCCCGAACGCAGGTCGAGCATGAATGGACGAGCCCACAGTACCGGTTCACACCACGGCAGCGCAAGACATGGAGGGTATTATGGCAGGTAGCCACCACAGAGGGAGCCGACCAGCGACACCCCATCAGCCCAGACCCCATGGATGAGCAGATGACTGAGGAAGAAGAAGAGGAGGAGGAGAAGGGACAGAGAGATACCCAGCCAGAAGAAGAAGATAAGTTCAAATTAACCAAGATGCAGATGGCATGTTTGGATTTTTGCATTGAGCTGCTGAACCAGCGGGTTCAGGTGGAGGATTATGAGTGCGCGCTGGTAGACGCGTTGGCGGTGCTGGGACGGGGGGAGTATGGATGGCGCGACGCCGAGAGCTACCCACCAATGTTGTCACGGATCATCAAGGTGGCACGGTTCATGGTGGTGCACAAGGCGGTGCGACTGGACGCCAATGCATCCGACATGCTGGCCAGGAACCAAGCAAGCCAGATGGTGGGAGAGTGGGCCGTGGTGAGCCCCATGAAGGAGGCGGATTACACGTTCACAGGCAATCAGAATGAAGGGTAATCAGTGAAGACATCAGAGGCATCCCATCAACAATCAGACAGACATTCCACAAACAGAATGTCCATCAAGGCCGGTTCATCATCACACATCAGCAGCGAGGGCAGAGGGCATTGATGGATGAGGAGGTTTTAGTGGAAGAGGCGCAGAGGTGGAAGGATCAGTGTTTGATATGTGCAAGTGGCAAGCGGGAGTTTGACCATGAGCTGTACCAGTGTCCCCACGAGGAGAGCCAGGAGGCAAAGAGATGGATGATGACAGTGCGGAGCAAGATCAAATACACACAGTATTCCGGGTGCTTCCGATGCGGGATGCCGCAGTCCATATGCAACAGCTGGAAGACACAGAGGCAGTGTCCGTACAGGGGATTTTTGATCCCGACAGTGGCAATGATGATGTATGGGTGTCACAGCAGCTGAGGGAGTTCAATGTGAATGCAGATGATCAGGAGGCGGTGATTGAATTTTTGAGACAGAAGGTTGAGGGGCAGGGCATCGAGCACAACCAGCTGATGGAGATGTTTTGTTGGCTGCGAGGGATATATCAGGAGGCAGAGAGGGGGAAGATCGAGTCAGAGGGTACAGGGGTCAAGTGATATCACAGGTGAGGGGCACCACAGGGGGATGAAAGACGTATATATATATAAAGGCAGGTGAAGCAAGAGACAGAGGGTAAAGGGATATAACATCAAGAGAAAGTAGATCAGGTTCAAAGGATCAGTTTCAAACAGTATCATCCCATATGATAATGGGTCAGGGTCAGGGTTACAAAGAGTGAGGGTAGAGGCTGGGGGGAAGAATGAGGTGGTCAGAGTCAGGGTTAGGGTTGAAAAAGAGTGAGGCTAGAGACAGGGGTGGGCAGTGAGGTCAGAATTGGTTAAATTGAGCACAAACCCGTTAACCCATTGGAAGTCAAACACGTTGGACCCAAACCCGTTGGACGTCGAAGCCGTTGGATGAGCGCATTAACCCGTTGGAAGTCGAACACGCTGGACATTAACCCGTTGGACGTCGAACCCGTCCCAGGAGCGCATTAACCCGTTGGACGTCGAACCCGTCCCAGGAGCGCATTAAACTCCGTTGGGAGTTGAAACACGCTGGACGTCCAACCCGTTGGATCGTCGAACCCGTTGGACGTCGAACCCGTCCCAGGAGCGCATTAACCCGTTGGACGTCGAACCCGTCCCAGGAGCGCACTAACCCGTTGGGAGTTGAACACGCTGGACCCAACCCGTTGGACGTCAAACCCGTCCCAGGAGCGCATTAACCCGTTGGGAGTTGAACACGCTGGACCCAAACCCGTTGGATGTCTAACCCGTTGGATGAGGAAGTCGAACCCGCTGGACCGCAATCCGTTGGACGTCAAACCCGTTAGACGTCAAACCCGTTGGACGTCAAACCCGTTGGACGTCAAACCCGTTGGACGTCAAACCCGTTGGACGTCAAACCCGTCCCAGGAGCGCATTAACCCGTTGGGAGTTGAACACGCTGGACCCAACCCGTTGGACGTCAAACCCGTCCCAGGAGCGCATTAACCCGTTGGGAGTTGAACACGCTGGACCCAAACCCGTTGGATGTCGAACCCGTTGGATGAGGAAGTCGAACCCGCTGGACCCAACCCGTTGGACGTCAAACCCGTTGGACGTCAAACCCGTTGGACGTCAAACCCGTTGGACGTCAAACCCGTTGGACGTCAAACCCGTTGGACGTCAAACCCGTTAGACGTCAAACCCGTTGGACGTCAAACCCGTTGGACGTCAAACCCGTTGGACGTCAAACCCGTCCCAGGAGCGCATTAACCCGTTGGGAGTTGAACACGCTGGACCCAAACCCGTTGGATGTCGAACCCGTTGGATGAGGAAGTCGAACCCGCTGGACCCAACCCGTTGGACGTCAAACCCGTTGGACGTCAAACCCGTTGGACGTCAAACCCGTTGGACGTCAAACCCGTCCCAGGAGCGCATTAACCCGTTGGGAGTTGAACACGCTGGACCCAACCCGTTGGATGTCGAACCCGTTGGATGAGGAAGTCGAACACGCTGGACCCAACCCGTTGGACGTCAAACCCGTTGGACGTCAAACCCGTTGGACGTCAAACCCGTCCCAGGAGCGCATTAACCCGATGGAAGTCGAACACGGTGGACCCAAACCCGTTGGATGAACCCATCAACCAGTTGGACGTCAAACCCGTCCCAGGAGCGCATTAACCCGTTGGATGTCGAACCCGTCCAAGGAGCGCATTAACCCGTTGGAAGTCGAACACGCTGGACCCAAACCCGTTGGATGTCGAACCCGTTGGATGAGGAAGTCGAACAGGCTGGACCCAACCCGTTGGACGTCAAACCCGTCCAAGGAGCCCATTCACCCATTGGACCCGAACCGGTTGGATGAACCCATCAACCCGTTGGACGTCGAACCCGTTGGACGATTATATCAGAAGGTAGAGGGGGGGAAGATCGAGTCAGGGGCATAGAGGTCAAATGACATCACAGATGAGAGGCAGATGTTGACGAGCACCACATAGAGATAAAAGATATATGCATATATAAAGATCGATGAAGCAAGAGGAAAAGGAGCAAAAAGAAAGAGGGTAAAGAGATATAATATAGCTAGATCAGGTTCAAAAATATTGGAGTTTTAAAGAGCATTATCCCATACAATAATAGGTCAGGGTTAGGGTTACAAAGAGTGAGAGTAGAGGCTGGGGGGTTGGATGAACGCATTAACCCGTTGGATGTTTGAAGGCGTTGAACATCAAAGCAGTTGGAAGTCAAAGCCGACGTTGAAACGATTGGAAGTCGAACCGGTTGAACAAACGCGTTAACCCGTTGGACCCAAACCAGTGGGATGAAAGCATTTAAAAGTCAAACGCGCTGGACATGCCGGTTGAAGGTAATAGGGTCAGGGTTAAACAGAATATGATAGAGAGGATCGTATATACCGGTTGGGGCACGCCCGTTGAATATCGCGTTGGATTAGGGGTTTGCGACCGGGAAATACGTCACGGAAGCGGAGGCGAAGGCGGAACCGGAAACGGAGAGGATCGTATATAGCGGTTGGGGCACGCCCGTTGAATATCGCGTTGGATTAGGGGTTTGCGTCCGGGAAATACGTCACGGAAACGGAAGCGGAAACGGAAGCGGAAACGGAAACGGAAACCCCAGGTTTTCAGGGTTAGGGTTATGGTTAAACAGAATATGATGGAGAGGATCGTATATACCGGTTGGGGCACACCCGTTGAATATCGCGTTGGATATCGGGGTTTGCGTCCGGGAAATACGTCGCGGAAGCGGAGGCGGAGACGGAAACCCCAGGTTTTCAGGGTTAGGGTTATGGTTTAACAGAATATGATGGAGAGGATCGTATATACCGGTTGGGGCACGCCCGTTGAATATCGCGTTGGATATAGGGGTCAGCGTCACGGGAAATACGTCACGGAAACGGAAGTGGAAGCGGAAACGGAAACGGAAACGGAAGCGGAAACGGAAGCGGAAACGGAAACGGAAACGGAAACCCCAGGGTTTTAGGGTTGAAGGTTATAGGGTTAGAGTTAAACAGAATATGATGGAGAGGATCGTATATACCGGTTGGGGCACACCCGTTGAATATCGCGTTGGATATAGGGGTCAGCGTCACGGGAAATACGTCACGGAAACGGTGGCGGAGGCGGAAACCCCAGGTTTTCAGGGTTAGGGTTAAACAGAATATGATGGAGAGGATGGTATATACCGGTTGGGGCACGCCCGTTGAATATAGCGTTGGATATAGGGGTCAGCGTCACGGGAAATACGTCACGGAAACGGTGGCGGAGGCGGAAACCCCAGGTTTTCAGGGTTAGGGTTAAACAGAATATGATGGAGAGGATGGTATATACCGGTTGGGGCACACCCGTTGAATATCGCGTTGGATATAGAGGTCAGTGTCACGGGAAATACGTCACGGAAACGGAAACGGAAATGGAACCGGAAACGGAACCGGAAACGGAACCGGAAACCCTACCCCCATTTACTTGAGGAATTGGCTTTTAGTTTGACCTGGAATTGGCTTTTTTGGTGAGAACTTGGCAAGACTTGGCAGGGCTTGGCAGGGCTTGGCAGGTTTTAAAACCCAAGTAAGATCACGTGATAAAAGCCAGGTAAGATTATGTAATCTGACCCGACTTTTCTTACATAATAGAACAGTATTAACTATATGTTGGGCACTAGTTGCCCAGGCGGCCCTCCACCGCACGTGATTACCCCTATATAGTTAGCTAGCGATCGCACAATGAGAAGATCAACCATCCCACAGGTTATGGCCCGGATTGCAGATTTTTAAGAAAAACAGACGTTTTGATTAGAATACGCTGCGACTGATGTTATATTGGATGAGTTAAACATTATTCCCCTGAAAAGAGAGCTCTTTGCCTATAAAAGTGGTGTAATTGACGGAATTGCTGTCGAGACTGCTGCAGAGATTTCATTACTATCTTGAAGGGATCAAAAACTTATTTATTTATTTTCATTCAGAACCTCCCTAAGTCAGATTGATTATGAGTGGTTCTCGATTACCTGCGACCCCAATATCAGGACGTAAGAAGACACTACGTTCGCAATCAAGGGTCCCCCAATCCTTCCCCCCTATTACTGAGCAAGAATCCGGCTCAGAAGCGGAGGGTGATCAAACTGAATACGCGATGGCAGAGGAAGATATGACAACCTCTGGCTCCGCACGCGATACTGGCAAGATGCCAGAACGCGAGGAATCCGAGGATGGCACGCCCAGTCCTATGCCGATACCTACGCCGAATCCTAACGGCATGGTGACCATGGCAGCAGCAGATCTCATTGCACTCTGCGAGCGACTGATATCAGCACGCGCGCCGCCACCTCCTCCACCTCCTCCACCACCTCCACCTCCTCCGAACCCTATACCAGAAGAAGATCCGAACATGCTGGCTCGCGAATACCAGAAGGAAGCGCAGGCCTCGTTGAACACAAAGTCCGTCACCACGTTCGATGGCACCAACTACCAGACGTGGAAGATGGCGTTCTTGTCGGATGCAGAAGTGATCGGTGGTGCAAATATTCTTAATAAGAACCAACAGGAACCACCTGAAGGTTTATCATCGCTCGATCAGCGATATTGGGTGATACGTTCAAAACTTCTCTTCCGTCGCATGTTGCAATCCCTAGTAGGTTCTGTCCGTTTGACCATGGGATCCATTCAACCCGACAACGCGGCGGCCCTATGGAACAAGGTAAGCGCAGTATACGCGATATCCCTAGGGGAAGAAAGGATTAACATCCTTAAAGAATTTACCCACTTGCATGTCAAGGACGGTGATTACCTGGCGTACGTACGCCGATATCAATACCTGTCTGCTCGCATGCGACAACTAACGGAGGACCGTGGTGAGAACTACCTCCATGATTTCTTTATTATCGGCCTCCGAGATTATCAGAGGACCTATGTTAAATCACGCCTCGATACGTTCTACGGGACGGGTCAGGGTCCGATTGTCAACCTAGATATCAACGATCTCACAAAACAAATTGCTCACCGGATGAGTAAATCAGAGGGTACTGGACGCCCTAAAGCTCCAAAGGCCAACGCGGCCACCAATGATAATGACAACACAACTTCCGCCGCAACCGCAAAGTGCGGATACTGCAAGGTCCCAGGGCATATAAAGGCTAATTGCTATCATCTGAACCCTGACAAAGCGCCCGAGTGGTGGAGGAAAGAGAATAAGGATAATAAGGGCACTGACAACACTGAAGGTGCCAAAAAGAAGGGAAAGGATAAGAAGAAGGACAAGGATGACGACAAACCTACTGGCACCAGAGCGCCAGATCTCCTTGCATCGCAACCTAATGCCAACGCAGCAATTGCTTTATCTACGTCGTCCGCTACAACATCCAAACCTTGGTATCTCGACACCTGCGCAAGCTTCAATATGACGGGTGAAAGGCACTCGTTGGTGCGCGCAAAGTCGTTCGAAGGTGATTTAGAAATTACTACCGCGGACGGTGGCGTAGGACGGGTTGAGGAGATAGGTGATATCCTTCTAGAATCAGAAGGGGGGGATATCTCAGTGGGTTACGTCCACTGGATCCCCAATCTAACAGTCAACCTTCTATCCTTTGCGAAGCTAGAAGATCAAGGCTTCAGATACCAACTATCAGATACCACCCCTTCCTATTTTACAATAAGGGCCCCGAACGGTGCCAACTTCACCGCTGTTCGCACGTCCAAAGAATCGGTCTACAAGATAATAGAACGAGAATCTCAAATAGACGTCCATCACCCGTCCCAGGCCGTCCATTTTATGGCCAAATCTTACAATTACGGGGACGCAATGTCGACAATCGCGGGGAAACCTAACGATCAACCTAGCGATCGCAACCCCCTGACAAGAACACTCATGGAATGGCACGTCACACTAGGGCATATCCACGCTGGCGCGATCATTGCACTAGCGAAGGACCCATCATCCGGCATCCGCATCAAAGGATCTAAAACAGGCTTCTTCTGCGATAGCTGCGTCAAAGCAGGCATGACACGCAAGTTCTCGCAAACTCCCATGCCACGAGCGTTGCGAGCAATGCAACGTGTTCATATCGACCTTGCTGGCGGTGGTCGTACGCTGGATGATATGTCCGATTACCCTATCGAATCTCGTCAAGGGACCAAATATTATATGCTCATCACCGATGACGCCACCCGCTACAGGTGGATCTATTTTTTACATACCAAGGACCAAGCTGTCGAAATTTACGCTCACTGGGTCCAATTCATGAAAAATCTCGGCTTCACGCCACCGGCGCTAGTTAGGACTGATATCGATGGTGTCTTTCGATCTAACAAGATGACAACAATGATGACCAAAGATGGCACTATCTGGGAACCTACTACGCCCCAATCTCCCCACCAAGATGGTGTTTCTGAGAGAGGAATCCGTACGATAATGACACGCGCAAGGGCAGTGCTTTTAGGCATGAATATACCGAAGAAGTTCTGGGCAGACGTTCTCGAAACGGTGGTTGCAATTACCAACAACACACCAACATCTACCACCCTGTATAATGAGAAATACTGGCCTACCAACAACGCCGACGAAGCACCTGCGCGATGCCCCTATACGGTCCCATTCTCAGCACTAACCAACGCCCCGCCCCAACTTCGCCATTTTAGGGAGCTAGGTGTTGATGTTTACGCGCACCTTCATGGATCTCAAAAACCTACTGACAAGCTGTCCGCTAGGGCAGAAATTTTTAAACTTATAGGATTCCGTGGTAACTCAATCTACCGCCTCTGGAGTCCTATCCAACAGGTGGGGGTGGAATGGACGTCCATTCCATTCAGGGTTAGAAAACCGACCAATCAGAGCAGGGCAGATTGGACGTACATTCCATTTGGTTTCAGACGTTGAACGTCCAATCAACCACGGAGTCAATTGACTTCAAACTTTGCATGTAGGCCGTAGTGGATATGAAATACAACATATCCAAATCAAAAGCGATAATTCCGCCGGGAAGGGGTTAAATTTTAGTGTCAAAGTCAATGAGTTGAGGTGCGACGTTTGATGGGGTAAGCCATCAACCCAACCAGACCCAACTAAATATCTATATTTTCACCCAGGCAACGGAGCGGTGCAAAGCGGTGCAAGATCAACAAAGTAAATTAAAATAGCAAAATATATAAAAAAAATGAAAGGCTTCATTCTGGAGTGATTTTAAGCACAGAAAAACAAACATTAGTCGAACACGCTGGACCCAAAGCCGTTGGACGTCAAACCCGTCCAAGGAGCCCATTCACGCATTGGACCCGAACCCGTTGGATGAACCCATCAACCTGTTGGAAGTCGAGCACGCTGGACGATTATATCAGAAGGTAGAGGGGGGGGTTCAAAAATATTGGAGTTTTAAAGAGCATTATCCCATACAATAATGGGCCAGGGTTAGGGTTACAAAGAGTGAGGGTAGAGGCTGGGGGGGAGGATTAGGTGGTCAGAGTCAGGGTTAGAGTGAGGGGTGTTCAGGGGTCGAACCCGTTGAACGAACCCGTTAACCCGTTGGACCCAAACCAGTGGGATGAAACCATTTAAAAGTCAAACCCGCTGGACATGCCCGTTGAAGGTTATAGGGTTAGGGTTAAACTATCCAAGTTCTACATAGTGCGTGGTCCGACGCGCCCCCGTCCGATTTTCTCCGTCCCTGATTGGCCGCCCGTGCGTGCTCCCGCTCCCGCCTCCGCGTGCCCGCAGTGGGGCCCGGTCACAGTCGAGCTCCCTCTTCCCTTCTCATATCTCATCTCTTCTTATCTTGTCAGTTTTTATTGGCCTTATTGGCCTGGCCTGCTCGCACATCCACGCGTCTCCACATTAATGCATTTATATATTGACGCATTCATGCATGATTGCTGGCTGCTCACTCTCTCTCTCTCTCTCTTTTTTTTTTTCTTTCTCTCTCTTATGTTTTGCTCTTTCTTCTGATCTCTGACTGACCTCTTTTAAATATACTCTTTCAAATATTGACAGACAGCCAACTTTGATGAGAGATTTACTGTGAGAATGGATCTCTTTATTTATAATAGGTCCCACCGCCTGTGGATCTGCCGCCCATGTGGATTTGCTGTTGCTGTTGCAAATGTCCTCACCCACCTGGCTAAGCGGCACCGCAACCATCCCTCGGCCGCGACGGCAGGTCTCCGGGAGGCCGCAGTGGCTGCGATGATGCAGGACCAGCTGGAGCCGGTGTTTGACCGCACTCAGAAACCCTGTTGCCCACCGCCTCCGGAGAGTGCTCCAGTCCGAGCTGGTGGTGTACTACCTCTGGCTGATTCTACCTTTCGCGCGGGCGGTCCAGCGGCTTGCATATGGAGACACTGATAGCCAGGGGGGCTGCGGTCACCATTTCTCTGGCCGCGGGGGCATGGACCGTGGGACAGCAGCCGGCTGCGGGTGGTGCTTCAGCGCGAGGCAAAGACACACCTCCAGACCAAGCTCAACGTAATCCCTTGGCGGCATGCCGCCATTGCCATCTCGCGTATGCACCTGTCCTGTAGAGGGTTCAAGCGGGAATATGAGGCAGATGATGCGGCAGTAGACCAGCAGGCAGGCCATGGATCCTCGGCTGCAGGTACAGTATATGCGCGGGGGCTGCAGGAGGCACCAGGCCACATTAAGGAACGGCGTGTGCGGTACCAGGCTGTCAGCCGGGAGTGGCATGAATTCCTGGGGTTTAACCCAGGGGTGCGAAAGCGGGCACGGAACATGGAAAAGAGCGTTAGCAGAAAAGCTCAAAAACAGCAGCCATCATATGTAACAGTAGAAATAGATGACAACATAGAGCTATAAATGATAAAAGATATATATTTTTCTCATGCAATTCATTATGACCAGATTTCCAACTTCAGCAGCTAGCTGTCATCTTTATAAATTTCAATACAAATCAGCCTTTCACCTCCGTTATAAAATGTATAATATTATATTTTCATAGACAACTCATCACAACCAGACCTTAAACTTCAGGAGCCAGTTATATTATATATACAGAGTATGATATTTAATTTCAAGACATAATTTCATCAGAAAATCATATTATTACAACATTAAGGTAGATAAGTTGTTTTGCAGAGTTATCAATATTAAATATATATATTTCGCCCCAGGGCAACTACCATCATCAAAACGGTCACAGATCAGCGAAATAACAATCAGACAGAAATTAACATCATACATTTAAGTATTGATCTGCAATTGCTTAGAAGCATTACAAAACTTAAATTTAGAGCAAATTAACATTGTCGAGTGAAGTGTGTTTATACTTCATTTTCAAAGAATATATATATATATATATATATATCAACTCAAGAATACACTGACTTCATTAACATGGAACATCAATTTTTCATTCAGTGTGAATCATACCCCATCATCATATGCCGTCAATGCAAGTATGCAGTATGGCCAACAGAAATTGAACGGCATTTGAAGGGTTCAACTCATCAGTTAAAGTATACAGCCACACAGAGTATCAAGCAGATAATTCAACGGTGGGATCATATCGCGCATGATCTCAGGCAGTTGATATTATCCACAGAATTGAACAAACCAATACATGAGCCGCTCATCCACAATGGCTACATGTGTTGGCGGCAATCTGAATGTCAGTATGTTGGAGGAACTATACGGAGCATGTACAAGCACTGACAGACCCAACACAGCTGGACTCCATGTCTCAGTCAGGGTTGGATGTCATCACAAAACCATATGCAGGTACAGAATGAGATCAACAAAGTAAATAAAAATAGCAAAATATATAAATAAACTGAAAGGGTTCATTCTGGAGTGATTTTAAACACAGAAAAACAAACATTAGTCGAACACGCTGGACCCAAGCCGTTGGACGTCAAACCCGTTGGACGTCGAAGCCGTTGGATGAGCGCATTAACCCGTTGGAAGTCGAACACGCCGGACCCAAACCCGTTGGATGTCGAACCCGTCCAAGGAGCGCATTAACCCATTGGACCCGAACCCGTTGGATGAATCCATCAACCCGTTGGACGTCGAACCCGTTGGACCCAACCCGTTGGACGTCAAACCCGTTGGACGTCAAACCCGTTGGACGTCAAACCCGTACCAGGAGCGCATTAACCCGTTGGAAGTCGAACATGCTGGGACCCAAACCCGTTGGATGTCGAACCCGTTGGATGAGGAAGTCGAACAGGCTGGACCCAACCCGTTGGACGTCAAACCCGTCCAAGGAGCCCATTAACCCATTGGACCCGAACCCGTTGGATGAGCCCATCAACCCGTTGGAAGTCGAACACGCTGGACCCAAACCCGTTGGACGTCAAACCCGTCCCAGGAGCCCATTAACCCGTTGGGAGTTGAACACGCTGGACCCAACCCGTTGGACGTCAAACCCGTCCAGGAGCGCATTAACCCGTTGGGAGTCGAACACGCTGGACCCAAACCCGTTGGACGTCAAACCCGTCCCAGGAGCCCATTAACCCGTTGGGAGTTGAACACGCTGGACCCAACCCGTTGGATGTCGAACCCGTTGGATGAGGAAGTCGAACACGCTGGACCCAACCCGTTGGACCCAAACCCGTTGGACGTCAAACCCGTCCCGGGAGCGAATTAACCCGTTGGGAGTTGAACACGGTGGACCCAAACCCGTTGGATGTCGAACCCGTCCAAGGAGCGCATTAACCCATTGGACCCGAACCCGTTGGATGAACCCATCAACCCGTTGGAAGTCGAACACGCTGGACCCAAACCCGTTGGACGTCAAACCCGTCCCAGGAGCCCATTAACCCGTTGGGAGTTGAACACGCTGGACCCAACCCGTTGGACGTCAAACCCGTCCAGGAGCGCATTAACCCGTTGGGAGTCGAACACGCTGGACCCAAACCCGTTGGACGTCAAACCCGTCCCAGGAGCGCATTAACCCGTTGGGAGTTGAACACGCTGGACCCAACCCGTTGGACGTCAAACCCGTCCAAGGAGCCCATTAACCCGTTGGGAGTTGAACACGCTGGACCCAACCCGTTGGATGTCGAACCCGTTGGATGAGGAAGTCGAACACGCTGGACCCAACCCGTTGGACCCAAACCCGTTGGACGTCAAACCCGTCCCGGGAGCGAATTAACCCGTTGGGAGTTGAACACGGTGGACCCAAACCCGTTGGATGTCGAACCCGTCCAAGGAGCGCATTAACCCATTGGACCCGAACCCGTTGGATGAACCCATCAACCCGTTGGAAGTCGAACACGCTGGACGATTATATCAGAAGGTAGAGCCGGGGGAAGATCGAGTCAGGGGCATAGAGGTCAAATGACATCACAGGTGAGAGGCAGATGTTGACGAGCACCACATAGAGATAAAATATAAAGATCGATGAAGCAAGAGGAAAAGGAGCAAAAAGAAAGAGGGTAAAGAGATATAATATAGCTAGATCAGGTTCAAAAATATTGGAGTTTTAAAGAGCATTATCCCATACAATAATGGGCCAGGGTTAGGGTTACAAAGAGTGAGAGTAGAGGCTGGGGGGCAGGATGAGGTGGTCAGAGTCAGGGTTAGAGTGAGGGGTGTTCAGGGAGGTCAAGGTCAGGGTAACGCATTGGAAGTTGAACGCATTGGACCCGAACCCGTCAGACCCAAAGCGGTTGGATGAACGCATTAACCCGTTGGATGTTTGAAGGCGTTGAACATCAAAGCAGTTGGAAGTCAAAGCGGTTGGACGAACGCATTAACGCATTGGACGTTGAAACGATTGGAAGTCGAAGCGGTTGAACGAACGCGTTAACCCGTTGGACCCAAACCAGTGGGATGAAAGCATTTAAAAGTCAAACCCGTTGGACATGCCGGTTGAAGGTTATAGGGTTAGGGTTAAGCAGAATATGATGGAGAGGATCGTATATACCGGTTGGGGCACACCCGTTGAATATCGCATATAGGGGTTAGCATCACGGGAAATACGTCACGTCACGGAAACGGAAGCGGAAACGGAAGCGGAAACGGAAACGGAAACCCAAGGTTTTCAGGGTTAGGGTTAAACAGAATATGATAGAGAGGATCGTATATACCGGTTGGGGCACGCCCGTTGAATATCGCGTTGGATATAGGGGTTTGCGTCCGGGAAATACGTCGCGGAAGCGGAGGCGGAGGCGGAACCGGAAACGGAAACGGAAACACCAGGGTTTTAGGGTTGAAGGTTATAGGGTTATGGTTTAACAAAATATGATGGAGAGGATCGTATATACTGGTTGGGGCACGCCCGTTGAATATCGCGTTGGATATAGGGGTCAGCGTCACGGGAAATACGTCACGGAAACGGAAGCGGAAACGGAAGCGGAAACGGAAACGGAAACCCCAGGTTTTCAGGGTTAGGGTTAAACAGAATATGATGGAGAGGATCGTATATACCGGTTGGGGCACGCCGGTTGAATATCGTGTTGGATATAGGGGTTAGGGTTATGGATAAACAGAATATTCTACGTTCCACATTGACAGGCTAAGACCAACACCACAGATATAGAAACATCTACATATTTTAGTATGAGATGATAGAGCAGCCTCTGGGCATTAAACTGATATATTCCATATTCCCATAGCCCGTGTAGTGGTGGAGATATTGTGGTTTAAATAATGGAGGGTTCTATGGGACGATAATACCGTATTAGGTTAGCGTATATTTTCTACAGCAGCGCTAACCCGTTACAGTATTATCGTCCCAAAGTCCCGGTCAGCGCAAGGAGTGGTTAGATGTGGATGAAATCATGCATGCTGGCTCTCTACCAAACATATTCAATGCTATCTAAGTTGCAGGTCAGTGGAATAGAAATTTCGTTGTCAATCAAGGATGCAATTCTCTAGGGTTATTCTAGTACCACATTGACAGGCTAAGACCAACACCACAGATATAGAAACATCTACATATTTTAGTATGAGGTGATAGAGCAGCCTCTGGGCATTAAACTGATATATTCCATATTCCCATAGTCCATGTAGTGGTGGAGATATTGTGGTTTAAACAATGGAGGGTTCTATGGGACGATAATACCGTATTAGGTTAGCGTATATTTTCTACAGCAGCGCTAACCTGTTACAGTATTATCGTCCCAAAGTCCCGGTCAGCGCAAGGAGTGGTTAGATGTGGATGAAATCATGCATGCTGGCTCTCTACCAAACATATTCAATGCTATCTAAGTTGCAGGTCAGTGGAATAGAAATTACGTTGTCAATCTACCCCCATTTACTTGAGGAATTGGCTTTTAGTTTGACCTGGAATTGGCTTTTTTGGTGAGAACTTGGCAAGACTTGGCAGGGCTTGGCAGGGCTTGGCAGGTTTTAAAACCCAAGTAAGATCACGTGATAAAAGCCAGGTAAGATTATGTAATCTGACCCGACTTTTCTTACATAATAGAACAGTATTAACTATATGTTGGGCACTAGTTGCCCAGGCGGCCCTCCACCGCACGTGATTACCCCTATATAGTTAGCTAGCGATCGCACAATGAGAAGATCAACCATCCCACAGGTTATGGCCCGGATTGCAGATTTTTAAGAAAAACAGACGTTTTGATTAGAATACGCTGCGACTGATGTTATATTGGATGAGTTAAACATTATTTCCCTGGAAAAGAGAGCTCTTT